AGGGAGAAATATTCCACCGAGCAGGCCCGTTAGCCACTGCGCAGGGCAGCCCTCCTCCCTCACAAAGACATTTGTGCAGGGCCGCAGGGCCACTTCCCCAGCAATTCCCGGCTAGTGCAGTTCGACTCGATCTGGAAGATGGGGAGCTGGCAAGGCCACTGGGGATGAGTGTTTTCCGATCACGGAAAAGTAAATAACACTTTCCCTGCGGTGGACTGGGGCCCTACGATTCAGGGAATCGTGAGTAATGTGTTGGTAAACACACTCTTTCTGTTTTTCCAATAACAACGCTGTTGTTATTCCTGAGATAGTGGAAAAACTGAGGCACACAGATAGCTTGCCCAGGATGAGAGAAGGGCCCTGAGAACCTGGCTAATCAGCAGACTGTGACCATGTGGCCCTGCTCCAGAGCTTCTTCTGGATTCCACCTCCCAGTACACCGGCAGGAGCGTGGCCAACCAGAGCCAAGGTCAGGGGCCGCGTCGGGTAGGACTCTCAGAGCACAGTAAACAGCACCGTCCGGCCTGCAAAGATGCTCTAACTGGGGGCTGGTTGCCAAGTATTCCATTCCAGTGCCTGAGAGCAGCATTCCCTAGTGGCTCCAGATGCCCAAGAGAATCTTCATAAAACTCAAAAATGCACCCAAAAGAGGGAGGCCGTCTCCTCTGTGAATGGATCCTGTCTCCATAAGACAGGTCTGCACAGTAGACTTTGCAACTACCTGTGGATTTTAAGCCCCTGATAGTGAGAATTGCATCCATTTAATGTGAACAGTTGGGTTAACTCTACCTAACAAATGAAAACGGCCTCCCTGGTTCCTGGGCAGGAAGGCAAGCGAACCCGGCTCATCTTGCAATTGCCTTGTTTCCCGCAGGTGCAGGAGCATTTACGCTTGGAGATACCACAGCCCTCAAGGGTCCGCCTGAATTTCTGGAGACCTGATAAAAGTCTTGGCAGGATGGAGGACATTTTTGGATCTAGCTTCCAAAAACTGTAGCTGTGAATTCCAAGACAATGATTGAAGTATGATGGCAGCTAGGAATTGCTGTTCATCCACTTATGCAAACTTGTATAGATGTAACAGGAATTTTTATGAACTAATTCATGCAAACTTACAAATTGCGTATTGGTATCGGTAATTCCACCTATGAATGTGGGTGCTTTGTTTGTGAGAACATGCCTGGCTCCCTGGAGCTCAGAGGGAGCGTGTGTAACACAAACACCTGGTTCAATGCCATGCACTACTTCCTTCCAGAAAGAGCTTCTATGTTATACTTGCTGATTCCAAGAACATTCAGCTGCTGGGAGTTCCCAGGGGTTCATGATAGTTTGGGGCTAAGACCTAAAGTCAATGGTAAGAGCCTACAAGTGGGACCAGATTGTGATTCAAGACAAAAATATTAAGCTTAAGGGAAATAACAGCATGCATGTAATAGGATGTGAGCTAAGACGTTACCGTGGGCACCATGTGTCTGCCCATCTGATGCAACTGCAGGTACACAGCAACGCTCCCTGCGCAGCACTCTTGCCAGAAAGTACTGCACCTGGATTGAATCAAGCATCTGTACTAACTACCCGTGTACAGGAAATTTAGGAGATAGAGGAGCATGCTATCAACATTGTGAGGAGGAAAAAGGCCAAGTCCAGAAAATGGGAGATTCTATGGGACAAAGGACTTGATTCCTTCAATTTTGAAATGACATCCAGAGAGGAAACAAGATGACGGCGTAGGTAGCAGCTGTAACCACCGCCTCCCGCAGCCACATCAAAATCACAACTAAAATCCAGAACCACCAGCACTCAGAGCCTCCTGAGATCAGGCTGCACAGAGGCCCTACAACCAGGGAACTGAAGGAGCATTGAGACTGGGAGGAGGGGCGGAGACGCGGGCGGATCGGGGCTGAATCACAGAGACGCTGCCTCGGGCCCACACCCGGTGCCGCGGGTTAAACCCGGGAGGGAATCTCAGCGGCGGAGGTTTCCCGGAGGAGTGAGCGTCCCAGCCCCACAGCAGGCCCCCAGCCCAGGGCTCCAGGGCCAGGAAGAGACGTCCCCACAGCTTCGGGCTGTGAAACCAGCGGGGACTGTGGCTGAGGGTCGCGGAGGCTGCGGGAGCCCCAGCAGCTCCCCTTAAGGGCCCGGCACGGACTCACTCGGACGCTCCCTCTGAGCCCAGCGCCCGGCAGCAGCCTGAAAGGACCTGGGACACTCGGGGAGGAACTAACCAGCCTGGAATCCGGGTGAGAGCTGGAGGGGTGGCTTCCTCCCAGGCAGAAGGGCTGGCGGAGGCCATGGCTCCTTTGGTGAGTCCTCCCCGCACACAGGCAGCGGGCAGGTGCCATATTTGAATCGCCAGCACCTGACTCACACCGTCGGCCCTGCCCCGTGATTCCTAGAGGCCCCGCCCCTCCCCACCTGCAGCTCATCCAGGACATTTCCGGGGGCTTTTCTGTGCAAGTGGCCTCTCCAGCCCCATGCTTAGGACTTTCCTAAAATCTCTCAAACAAGTAGCACTGTGCCCCATACATCTTGATAAGTGGCCCCAGGCCTGGCACTAGTGGCAGCCTGCACTGGCTCATAGCTTGGCCTCTCCTGGGCACCTCCAAGCCCAGCACAAGTAGCAGCCAACTGCGGTTTGCTGTGTAGCTCATGCTGGGGGGCCCTGGGCAAGGCACTGGCACAGGCTGACTTTGCACCTCCCCAGAGGCCCCAGAGACAGTGCACCTGGTGGTCAGACTAGACCACGCTGCATTACAACCCTACTACATCTACGAGTGACACACTTAAGGGGAGCACTTGGTGAACACCAAAGCCCCAGTGAAGTAAATCCTGTTCCATAGGGGTGTCTCCAGCACAGCAGCTCTTTGACTGTAGTTGCAGCAGGTCCTCGCAGCCGATTGGCCTGGTGGTCAATTCCTCCCAGTGACACCAACAGCAACCAAGGCTCAAATCCAACATGACAGTGCACACAGCTCACACAGGGGAGCACCTAGAAGGCCCAGTTCAGGTGACTGGGGAGGCTGAGCCACTGGACTCTACAGGACACCTACTACACAAAGCCACTCTACAAACTCCAGGAGACGTAGCAGCTTTAATACATAGAAACAAACACCTGGAAGCAGCCAAAATGTGGAGGAAAAGAAACATGTCACAAAGGAAAGAACAGAAGAAATCTCTAGAAGAGGAACTAAATGAAATAGATCCAAGCAAGCTAACAGATAGAGTTCAAAAATTTGTTTATAAGGATGTTTAAGCAGACTATTAGGGAATTAACTGAGAAAATCGATAACATAATAAAGTACCAATTTGAAATGAAGGCTACACAAACTGAAATGGAGAATAATTTACAGGGAATCAACAGTAGAGTAGAGGATGCTGAGGCTCAAATCAGCAATTTGGAACATGAGGAAACAAAAAACACCCAACCAGAA